CTCTCTCTCTCTCTCTCTCTCTCTCTCTCTCTCTCTCTCTCTCTCTCCCCATACCAGCAGCTCAGTTTTTATGGGGAAACAGTGGGACATGATATAGTTCAGGATGCTCAATAATAAAGCTGGTGACAATGTAGCATGGGACAAGCACCCGCCCCCCCCGTCATGCCTGGCATCTGTGGGATAAGTCTGGGACAGTGAGGGAGGGTGCACTTGCCACATCCACACCTGGTCACAATGGGCCAGGTACTGCCAAGGGCCCCACTTTGTGCAAAGGTGGCATCAGGCTCAGGCAAATCCGGGCTGTGCCCAGGCCTCGCGGCCCACTTGATGAGTGGAAGTGTTTTCCCCAAACACTGGCAACGTCCTGGCCCCTGCAAAGCAACCCAGCACGCCTTGCCAGAGAGGAGCGGTCTGGCAGCAGAGATGATGCTCATCCAGAGGCAGCCGAGCACCTGTCTGGAAGACAAGTGTGTTTCCTGGGCCGCGTTCACCTGGGAAGACACCACCTTCCTCCTGCAGAGGCAGCCATCCATGGTGCCCTGAGGTCCCCGTGAAGCGAGACCTTGGGCAGCAGCTGCAGACAAACTGACAGCCTGCGGGGGTCATGAAGTGGGCTACTGATGACACCCACTGTCCCTTAGGGTGAAACCCCTCTCCACACCAGAGTCCTTGTGTGGCTCTGGGGCTTCCTCCTCCTTCCCCCTCCACCCCGGCTGCAGGAACCCCTCTGTTCCCAGGGCCACCAGGTCTGCAGCTGCCTGCGCCTTGGCACTGGCGGATTCGTCCCTCCTGCCCCAAGGATGCGCTTCCCTGAGACCTCAGCCCGGCAGGCGCCTTCCTGCGGTTCAGGTGTCAATTCAGACTCCACGTTCTCAGAGAGGCCCTGCCCAAGAGCAGCAACCTCTTCCTGACCTTCTGGAATCAGAAATGACCTTGTCGTTTATGGCCACTCTCTCCTCGGTACCCCAAGCAGGAGAAACCCTTCTCATATGACCACCTATGTGGGGGAATGTGGGCATGAAAGAATGTGCGCACAGGTGTCAAAGGACCGGGAGAGAGCACTCATGCGTAAACGCAGCACCTGTGCCCGCTTCACACAGTGAGAGAGACCCCTGGTGTTGGGCATCCAAAACGCCCAACCAGGCCCCTAGGGGTTGGGAACCTGCCCACCCTGCCCCCAGCTTTCACCTCCAACTCTGAGGGCTGCTTGCCGGGAAGACCTGCCCCTCTCTGCCTGAGACCTTTCTCCTGCCCCAGGGGTACACTCAGTCATGAGGACGAGCTGGAGAATTCACATTCCCGCAAGCAAGCACACTGTTACGATTTGATGTCCCCCTAAAAGCTCCTATTCATGCAGGAATACACAGAGGTCAAATGATCAGAATGTGATGGCTGTTTTAACCCCATCGGTCTTCCAGGTTTTGGGTGGCAGAGGGGGGTAACTGCAGGCAGGTAGGGCGAGGCTGGAGGAGGCGGGTCCCTGGGGGGGGGGGGGCTCTGGGAGGATGCATCTCCCTGCAATCCCTTCCCCACCCCCTCTCCTGACTGAGCAGAGGGTTCTCCTCCTCCCGGCCCTTCTCCCATGAGGTGCTCTCTCACCTGAAGCCCAGAGCAATGGAACTGGCTGTCTGGGGACTGAAACCTCCCAAACCGTGAGCCCCAAACAAACTTTCCAACCTCTAAGCTGTTCTAGTCAGGCATTTTGATCACGGTAATGCAAAAGCTGACTGATGCAATGCCTTGCTACACAAAGGACAGGTAGTGGGTGGACAGATGCCCCTGCTTCCTCATCCACTGGTTGGGAGGTGACCAGCGTGTTCTACCCTGACTCTGGGAGGTCTCAGCAGCAGGGAGCTCCAGTTTCCTTACTAAGCACACTCATGGGTTTCCGTCCGTCCCTGCCTCACTCCACTGCTCTCCCATCAAGCTTGCTGACACCATGTCCCAGGTCAACAAGTTGCACCAGGATCCTTATCCACCCAGAGCAGGCCACCTCATAAGGACTGGGAAGCTGCCCAGATCTCAGATCCAGAAACCCGCTCCTAAGGCCAGTCCTTACCACCCCAGCTCCTGCTTACAGGGTCCTTACTTCAGGACTTTCAAACTGGAATTTCTCTTCAGTCCTTCTGCAAGAAAACACACACCTTCATCCAGGAGATGGTTCTCCTCCAGACTGGCAAGAGAAAGAGAGAATCCCATTGACATGATAGCACTTATTATGGAACATGATGTCAGTAATCCACATCCAACATCCGAAAATCTAAACCTACAAATAAAGTAAGGACAGATAAGGTAAGATTGAGGATTCTCAATTCCAGGGACATCTTTGCAAGAGAATTCACTCCAGGGCTCTTCTATATAATAAACTCCTTCAGGTCCCGGCTCTCTCATATCCATGGAAACCTCCTTTCATTTTGGGCAGTCATAATCTTACTGGTAAAAAATATTTCCCACTCTCTAATGACCAAATACATGGTCACTGATACATAGGGGAAGTTGACAGTTGGGCCTTCCAGGAATGCTTTTGAAAGGTGAGAGTCATAGCTGGCCTGTGCTTTTCAGATTTGTAGACTAAGTCCTGGAATACAGAAGTAATTGCTGCAGGTGGAGCAACTGTCTTGTGATGATGAGGCAACCAACCTTGAGGATGAAGCCACAGGAAAATAAAGGATATTTAAAAGATAGAGACAGAGTCAAGGCCTCTGCTACCTTTAGTAGCCACCATAACAAAACTGCTTACCTCCAGACTACTTATACATGAAAAATAAATCCTTTACTGGTATAAGCCTTGTAGATGGACTTTTCAAAAATTACTTGCAGCCTCATGCAGTGGTAAGTTAAACTAAATTTGGCCCGACGTGGCCTCCATACTTTGAGTTCCTTTGTAGCTAACTGCAACCTAACTCAGTACGCAAACAAACTGTAAACCAAGAGAATATTCGTGTAACAAATAGCTGAATCTCAATCATAGCAGCTAAGCTTCAGCCAATCACAGGCTGCTAATTCATCACACTGTGTCCAAATAAAACCAGTGCCGAGCAGTGACCAATCAGGCTGTTTCTGTATGTCACTTCCTTTCCCTCTCTGTAAATCCTGTGTATCCATGGTTGGATGGAGCCCTTTGAACCTCTCCTGGTTCTAAGTGCTGCCCAGTTCATGAATCAGTCTTTCTTCAAATTAATTTTGCTAAAATGAATTTGTCTGAAGTTCTTTTTTTTTTTTAACAGTAATCATAACTGATACGCTCACAGTTAGATGCTCTTCCACCAAGAAATGATAATGGGCAAAATCCAATCAGATTCCATCAGTGGTACTTTGACAGAACTAGTGAGCCCTGCCAAGAGCCGTGACCCATCCTCAATATCCATTTTCTGGCAAGGTTTATATGGTTCAGTGCTTTTTCTGCTTCCTGGAAAAATTTAACATTAAACATTTTAGCTCCCTGATATAATTTGGAACTACAAAGATGACCCTGGAACTGAAGACTCTGTTAACAATATCTATAGGATGGAAAACTTGGGAGTCTGCTTCAGGTCAACAGCATGAGCACAATTCATGGGTCACCTTTCAACTCCCCCAAATTCCATTCACCTTCCAAGGTGACCCCTAATTCTAACACTCAGTGTTCTTAGGAATTCAGATTCACTTTGAAATAACAAAACTCGGGGTGGGATTGTAGCTCAGTGGTGGAGCGCTTGCATAGCATGTGTGTGAGGCACTGGGTTCAATTCTCAGCACCACATATAAATAAATAAGTAAAATGAAGGTCCATCAACAACTAAAATATATATTTTTTTATATATTAAAAAAATATATAACAAAACTTCATCATTAGCAGCTGTCATAGTATGAGTAGTAGCTGTAGTCATAGCAGCAGCTGCCACCATAGTAGTGGTGACTTCAGTGCTGCGATGGTTTAACATCTGTGGTGTGCTCACCCATATGACAGGTACTATATTAAGCTCTCACAGGCACTACCTAAAAATTTTTATACACATATTTTTATAGTTGGAAACATTCTCACTCTCATTTTACAGGTGAGAAACCTGAGTTTCAGAGACTGTTATTTAACCTGCCTAAGATTACAGCCTCCTTGATGCCAGAGTCTGCACTCTTACCCATTTTGCTGTGGGAGGACAGTAAACAAATGAGTAAACTAATAAAAAGCATTAAATGAAAACAAATCAGGAGCTATACATCAGGCTCTGTGAGCTTCATACCTCTCAGTACATTAAAAAGACAAAAATTGATCAATCACTCAGTCATCCTCTCTGTCTTATCCACACAGCTGCTCTTTGGATGTGGCCAGGCAATCAAGAAAGGCTGTTATCTTCCTCCCCAGAGCAGAGAATCCCCCCAACTCACCAGAGTTCTTCTAGGGCCACATTCTTTTCCAACATCAGTGCTAAGGCTTGGGCACCTGCACGGCCAATGTTGTTCCCCACCAGGCTGGACATAGTCATGAAACAGAAAGGCATCAGAGCGGTGAGAGACCTCAGAGGTCAGCTAACCTACGGAGAGCAACACGGATGGCACACGTAGCCCCACTGACCCAGTGTGCACTAGTGGATCACAGCGCTCCTCAAGCCCAGGAGCAGCCTTAGAGATCCTTTCTCACGAGGGACACTGTACAGCCACGACCAGTGGATTGCAATCGGTCTTTTAAGATACAATATGACTGATTCGGCCTAAGATCTTCAATTTTGCAGGTGGAGAAACAATTTCTAAGGAGGAGAAGAGTCATCTCCAGAGTCACCCAGAAAGCCTCAAGTGCCCCAACTCCAAAACCAATGGTCTTTCTTCCTCCCCAACCACCTAACACAGAGGGATGGAAAGAAGTTCAACCACCTTCAAAACTGGCCTGATCTCCTTCCTCTTCACTGCCCATCTCCCTGTGAAAAAACGTGAGGCGGACCTTGCAGCTTACCTGAGCCACTTCAAGCTCTGGTGGTCATCTAAGGCCTCAGCCAGGGCCCGGGCACCGTTGTCACCCACCTTGTTACCCCAGAGCCTGAGAGGACCAATGGAGTCAACAGATTGTTAGTGGACGCCTGCTGTGGGTTCTAGAACTGTCTTCATGTTGGCCTGCCCCCTGAAGCCCCAGCCAGTGGGGCAGGACCACCCGATCCCTGAGAGTTCTCACTGGGACACAAAGTTCTCACTTGGGTCCCAGCAGAGTGGACCTGCTGCCATCTTTTTGGTGGGATGGCCCAACCTCTCTCAGACTTCAGTGGCCTTAAATCACAGACTTAAGACACAGTAGAGGCCCAACCATCCCAGACCTCCAGGGACATGGAGCCCACCCTCAACAGCAGCTCACAGAGTTGTAACACTTTCCCAACTTTGAGTTCAGATTTGCTTCCTGGTAGCTGCCACCCATGTCTGAAACTAGCTCCAGGGACCACCCGGGACCAGTCTACCTCTTTCCCCACAAGTCAGCTCATATCTCTTGTTCTTCTTAGCACCCTCAGCTCCTTCATGGTGTCCAACCCTCTCCCCTTCTGGGTCATTCTCTCTGACCCACTTAGTTTTAACTCTGTCGCTACCGATGCAGCCTGAACAGGGTGCTGGTTTCTAGAACATCATGCCTCCAACTGAGCTTGTGGGCAACTTGTCTGCTTGTGAAATGGCTGGAAGAGCTGAGCCCCAAAGTTATCCTCTCTTCTTCAGTCTCAGATCCCTGTTCTTGTCAAATGTACAACAGTTCACATGGGACAGCCGAGGGACTGCTGGGGACAGCAGGAGTGACACCCTGGAGGGACAGATGCTCTGCCCAGCAACCAGGGGAAGCCCCACTCTGGAGCCCTGTGGGGTGGGGGCTCCTCTCACAGTCAGTGGATGATCCCCCTCCCCTTCCTGGCAGGCGCCAGCTTGGCCCGACTGCCAGGGCGATTGCTCAAGAGCCGAGGCGGCACACTCCCATCCTGGCTACCATCCCTCCCACATCCCTCCCTCCAGGTCAGGGCCCTCACAGAGACCCACACCCCGGGGTATGTTCACTGCATGAGCCTGGGATGGGGCCCTGGTGATGGTGTCATTCAGAAGCACGGAGTGGTTCCAAGGTACAGCCAAAGCACAGCCCTAAGCACCCCAAGGACCAGAGGGCTTCCTGGCCCAGGTTCAGGGTGCTGCCTTCCCCAGCCCTGACATCCTGAACTTCCTGCTTATCAGATGAAGCAAGCACAGAGGCAGCTGAGAGCCACCCACTCACTCCCCCCCCCCCCCCCGTTTGTCCTTCCCCCAGGGGCGCCCAGCCCCCTCTGGGGCCTTACAACTGGTGGTTTTGACCTGCCCTACATTCTTGGAAGTCCCCAGACTCCTCCGCACAGACCTATCTGTCCCAGAGTCCAACCTACCCCAGGAACTGCAGGGAGGCATTGCTTCGGAGCCCCTGGGCCAGCACCTGGGCCCCCGCCGCGGTGATGTGGTTGTTCCCCAGCCTGGAAGGGAAGGCAGGAGGCTGAGAGCTCAGCGGAGGGCAGGGGACGAGGCTCCGCAGTGCCAGGGCAGGGAGGCCTGGCAGGAAAGCCCTGAAGACCTTGCCCGAGTGCAGCAGCTACCTGCTTACTCAGTGGCTCCAACTTTGTCGTCCCCAGCCAAAGGAAAGTGGAGGAGGGACTATTTGGTGACATAGTATGACAGGTCTGGGCAGGAGCCGTAACAGGCAGCTGTCCTGGGAGGTAGTTTTCCCAAGAGCTGAAGATGACTCTGTCCCACCTTTCCCAATCGTCTCAGTCACCCCAGCACGTCCCTGCTGACATGCAGAAACCACTTTGCCACAGGTAGTAGTTACCTCTTCTGCAAGAGCTGGGGCAGGCTCAGGCAGCTGGGAAGAGGAAGGAGCCTCTGGGCATGTACATTGCCAACCCCCAAAGGGACACAGGGGAGTGTTGGGGCAGGAGGACGGTCCGGTCCCAACCAGAAAGAGCCCAGCTGAAGCCAAATTCAGGTATGTCCAAGAGTGTCAGAAAAATCCCCAGAGCTCTCACCCACCCAGCACTTCCTGGAATAATCAGAGTATAATTTCATCTGTTCAAAGAACTGTAAGTCATTCTGACTCAACAATCTTACAGAGTGGGCACTGCTATTCCCTTTAAGAAGGGGTGCAGCACCATGAGACGGCACCTCCCCGACCTCCAGCCTCAGCTCCCTGCAGGCAACCAAGGCCCCAGAACCCATGCCCTTCGCCTCGGCACCAAGGCCCAAGGCTTCCCACAAGGGGCTCCCTCCCAATGACCGAGAGACACGGTGGCCAAATCCCCCAGCCCCATGGATTTGTCTTGAGGCGCTCCGATGGCCTTGCTGAGCTCTCTCGGAGCTCCACTGAAGTACAAGCTTCGTCAGCCTCCCCAGCCCCCTCCCCGTTTCCCCTTGGACACATTTTCCCCAGCAAATCTGATGGCCGTGCAGTTCCTTCCTGGAGGACTCACAGGAGACTCGCAAGCTGTGAGCTTACATAACTTGCCCACGATCTTTCAGGGGCTGAGCTCACTATACAAAGCACTCACTGTTCTGCATTAGATCTTCATGTATAATAACTCGCTCAACCACCACAACAACCTCAGAGGGGGCTATGATCATTATCCTCATTTTCTAGCAGGGCAAAATGGAGGCACAGAGACATCTACCAGGCTGACCCAAGGTCACACAGCTAATGAGGATTCAAATTCCAAGGGTTCCTAGAGTCAAACTGTGGGCAGCTCAGCTCTAGAGCCCCTAGTTTCAAGTACTCTGATGCATTGACCAGAAACCCAGGGCTTCAAATGCAGGTACACACCCCAGTGCCACCTGCAGCCCTCCCTGGGCAGGTAACCAGGTCAGTCTGGGGAAGCAGGTGGTAATGGCAGAATAGAGTCTTTTGTGCAAAAGGCACCTGTGGCCTTGGTCTCAGCAGCTCCGAAGGAGGCGGAGCTACAAAGCCAAGTTTAAAAACAGTAGCTTCCATCCCCAAACCCAGGCCAGCAAGTGAAAATAATAGATTTTTTCCCACAAAGCAATGCTCCAGCTGGTGACGAAGACCTTCCAGGAGCATTTCAGCCAATGGCTGGCACAGCCCTGGGGCAAAGATGGCACATGTCTTCCCCAGCAGGATGCCCTCAGTGTCCATCAGGGAACCTGGTAACCCCAAAGAGCCTGGGACACTCTTAGACACAGGGAAGGACAAGGGCCTAGAAACTCTTCTTTGCCCTGAGGGCTGAAGGTCAAAAGGGCAGGTGCCCCTGAGCAGAGCTGGTCCAGAGGAGATCCAAGCAGTGCGGGAACCCAGCTCACAATGACACTGCCCTGGGCTCAGTCAGGAATTCACAAGCCCACCTGTGGTCCAGGCCAGGTGGACCCAGAACCCACCAAAAATTACCTTCCAGGGAACAGGAACACCCAGGGCTTACCTCAATGCCAAGAAGTCCTGCTTGCATGCGAGGAGCGTGGCCAGGGAGTGTGCACAGCCGTCAGTCAATTTGTTGTTGAACAAACTGTGATGTCCCAGGACAGAGGAGATGTGCAGGTGAGGCCTGTGGCCAGTGAGCCCTCAAACCCAAGGCTGCCCATTCTCCCCTGGCAGGAGCCAATCAGCACACGCCAGCCAGGCAACACCCCTCCCCCAGCCCTTCACACTCTCAGCTGCCCAGACAGCGTGGCCTGGGATGAGACTGGGGGACACAAGGCCCCACGCCCACAGCCCAGCCCAACTTACGCTAACTTCTGCAGGTGCTCACAGTGAAGAGCGTGCTCAATGAGCTTACAGAGGCCTCGGTCTGAGATATCGTTATTGCGCAAACTAAAAAGATGGAATGAATTAATTGAAAAATGGAGCTTTTCAGGAAGAAAATGTACAGCACCCCCAAAATAGAGTCTTGCTCATATCCCCAAAGTGCCAGCATATGTGCTTCTGGGAACCACCACCAAGACAGAGCACCCCGGAAGCATGGAGACCCCCCAGCACTCCTGGCCAGGTGGTTGACTAGGGTGGGGACGGCCCAAGGATTCAGAGTCCCTAATGAAGAGGACTGGAATCCTTGGAGAGTCGCAGGTCTAATTCCAGGCCCCATTTCTATTTCTGCAAAAGGACAATGGTCATCACAGTGGCCTCACTGAAGGGTCCCAGTGGAAAGAGGCTGATCTATACCAGATGGGCCAACCCTTGGGGCAGCGATGGTCACCACCTTCTGGTTAGCAGACTGTAGACAGTTGGATGAGACTGGCCCCAACTAGTGCATAACAGGTTGTAGATAGTGAAGCCTCTCTGGGCTGTCCTTGACCCAAGGACACTACTCCTGAAGGGCAGATCCTGCCTAGCAAGCCCCCTCTAGCTCATCTAACCATGAGCTCATCTGAAAACTTCCCTAAAATACAGATTAGATTCTAGGGCATCTATCCTGAACTGGTGCTTCCATACACGTGGGGTGGGGCCCAGAGGTCCATATATTTTAACATCTGTGCAATGATTTTTTAATCCTCAGACAATGGCCCTGACTCAATGGTTATCAGCTCAGGCACTGGGGTCCCTCATCTGGACATTCTGATCCTGACCAGGCTCTTACTAGCTATTTTCTGTTTCTTTCATCTACAAGAAGGGAACGACTGTATTATCACCCTCTCCAGGCTGTACACATACAGCCCTGTGAGCCCCTGGCACATGGTACGAGTCACCTGTCATCAGGAGCACTAGCACGTATGGAACTTTCTGTGTGCCGGTCCTGGGCACTTCCCAACAGTAACCTTATCCTCACCACAAGCCCTTGGAGCAGGCACTACTATGATGCTCATTAGAAAGAAACTGAGGCACAGACACGTGAAGTGACTTTGCTAAAGCTGCACAGCACCTAAAGGGTTGAGCTTAAGTGGTCTGGCTCCAAATCCCACCCCTAACCACAACACTGTGGGGCCCCCCTTGTGGCCTCGGATGGCTGCCCGTTCTAGAGAAGCGGTTTTCAGGCTGCAGGTCGTGTGACCCATTAGTGTGTCACAGAACCAATTTTGAAGGTCCTGAGCAGCATTTTTAAAACTGAAATAGGACAAAAGAAGAGAGCAGAGCGTCTCAGAGCTAACGAGGCAAAGTCATCTCGTGAAGCTTCTCATTTAGAAGTTCTGAACACGGGTGCGTCTGCTCACCGCTTGCTCTCACTGTGGGTTACCGTCAAAAAACTTTGAAACCCATCACCCTAGAGTCAGAGAGAGTCAGGGTGTAAAGAACCCTGCATCGGGTGCTTTACATATGGGGTTTCCTAGAGGCTGAGGGCTTTAGTTGGCATGGAAACTCCTCAAGTGGAGAGATGCAACCTGGTGCTGTGGGAGAGAGCTTGGCCCCCTCGCCCCCACATCTCTCTCTCTCTCTCTCTCTCTCTCTCTCTCTCTCTCTCTCTCTCTTTCTCTCTCTCTCTCTCACACACACACACACACACACACACACACACAAATATGCCCAAGAAGCAACCTTCTAGTTGTGCGTAGGATAAAGAACAATGGATCTTGGTCGAGGGCCTGAACCACTGGTTCACTTCCTGTTTCTATAATGAAATCTCTCCCATAACTAACACATAAAGAGGAAGGAGTTATCTGGGTACACAGTTAGGAGTTCCAGTTCATGGTCAATTGGCCTTGGTTGCTGTGGGGACGATGGCAAGGCAGCAACTCATGGCAGAAGCTTGTGACGGAGCAAACATTCTTAACATCACAAGCCAAAGAGGAAAGAGAAAGAGACAGAGGCTGGGTCCCACAGTCCGCCTCAAGGGCACGCCTCCAAAAATCTGCAGACTTCCTACAAGGCCCACTTCTTAAAGGTCCCGCCATCTCCCAGTAGTGCTACTCTGGGGACAAAGCTTTTCACACGTGGACCTTTGGGGAATGCTTATCCAAATGGTGGCGACTGCTAATGGAAACATCAAGCTGATTCCTCCAGACCAGGGCTTCTCGGTGTGAGACCAGCTGTAACAGAATCACCAGCAATGTGTGGGACAGCTGTAGATACCGAGGCCACCCACTGAATGGGAGTTACGGGGGGCAGGCCCAGAAATCTGCCCTGCATCAGTTAACTCTGCACACTGTAGTCTGAGCACATGCAGCCTGCCTCACCTTTATCTGAAAATAGAGACAGACCCACAGCTTCCCTAAAGCCCTTTTATTTATTTATTTTTTGATACTGGGGATTGAACTCAGGGACACTTGACCCCTGAGCCACATCCCCAGCCCTATTTTTTATTTTATTTAGAGACAGGGTCTCACTGAGTTCCTTAGTGCCTCGCTAAGTTGCCGAGGCTGGCTTTGAACTCACGATCCTCGCATCTCAGCCTCCCAAGCCTCTGGGATTACAGGCGTGCACCACCGCGCCCAGCTCCCTACAGCCCTCTGCACACCACATGGGAACACTCCTGATCAGTCAGAGAGGACCCACTGAAGAATTCCAGGGACGGACTGGTCTATGAGAATCATTCTGGTCTCTTGGGATTCAAGAACCCCTGGGAGAACCAGCTTAGCAGACAGACGGCCTCCCGACTCCCCAGCCAGAAGACCACACCTCGTCCCTCCAGAGGAAGTGCAGTATGGTGCCGTTACTTGGCCAGGTGCTCTGTCTCCCTTCTCTGCCAGGCTCTTGGTCCTGGGAGGCTGACGTCTGTGGCCATCAGCAGCAGGGGCAGATCTGCCTCTTCGGTGGCTCAGCAGAGGAAGGCACTGACCAGAGGCATTGACCAGGGCCAAGCCTGACTCTCCTGGAGCCCAGGCTGCTCAGGATGCCCTGGCCACTCCTTCCTCTCAGCTAATAAGTCTGCCCTCCCTGAGCCTCGGGTCCACCAACCACCACTAGCCCCAGGGCCCTGCTCCATCCCCCTTGGCTCTTCATGACCTCTGTAGACAGTCCCTTTATTAGACTCTCCTCAGCTCACCCCAGTTTAAGTGTGGGATCTGTTTCCTCCAAGACCACAACAAGGTCAGCCATACTTACATTCTATATTAATTGTACATAATAGACATAATACTATAGATGATTAACTACCCATAATCTATGTTATAAACTTATGACCACAGTCCCTATCTCGGGGCTAATGAAAGCCACTGAACAAGTTCAAGTAGATTCCATGTATTTGTTTCATGGAGGAAAAGAAGGCTTGCTGATTTGCCTCAGAGAAGACGCACCACCTTCACATTCAAGGAGGGTCTTCTCACCCTTTGCTTAGGGTCAATAAAGGTCACCTGAAAGTAGCCCAAAAGCCCCAGAAGATTGTGAATAGATTTTAACTTTTGTCTACAACGTTTTGCTTTTTCATGGGTTCTACAGAATTGCAGTGCTCCCTCCCCTGGGTGATGCTGAAATCCCACCTGCACACTGCACTACCTGATAGAAAAAAAGTGGGCCACGTGGGGCACAGTGACACACACTTATATTCCCTAAAACTTGAGAGGCTGACGCAGAAGGATCACCAGTCAGAAGCCAGCCTGGGCAACCTAGCCAGACACTGTCTCAAAATAAAAATCAAAAGGACTAAGGAAACTAGCAGGCCTGTAATCCCAGCAGCCTGGGAGGCTGAGGCAGGAGGATCGCAAGTTCAAAGCCAGCCTCAGCAACAGTGAGGCGTTCAGCAACTCAGGAAGACCCTGTCTCTAAATAAAATACAAAAAGGGCTGGGGATGTAGCTCAGTGGTCGAGTGACCCTGAGTTCAATAACGCCCCCCATCCCCCCCAAAAAAAAACTCTGCACATGACCTTGAGGTTTTCCTAGAGCCTTAGAAGTGCATCCACAGAGATGAGATGGAGAGTAGAAAACTGATAGTCAGAAAAATGTGAAACCCAGTCTGCAATTTCCTGTGTGACTGTCTCTCTCTCTCTCTTCTTTAAATATTTTTTCAGTTGTAGGAGGATACAATACCTTTTTAAAATTTTATTTTAAATATGTGGTGAACCCCAGGCCTCACCCATGGGAGACGAGTGCTCTACTGCTGAGCCCCAGCCCCAGCCTGTGACTGTCTCTATTTGTTGGTTTGTTTTCATGGCACTGGGGATTGAACTCAGGGAGTGAGAAATGCTAGCCGCATCTCCAGCCCTTCTGTGTGACTCACTTCACTTGTCTGAGCCTCAGATCAAGGACAAGGGGGATAATAATGGCCCTGCCGCCAGCACAGAGTGGCTGTGGATATTAAATGAAATCATACCGGAAAGAGCAGCAAGCACCATACCTGGTAGAGGGGACATTGACTAAGGCATGGCTGTCACATATTGACACTAAAGCCCAGAATGGGGAAGGGTCTGGCCTGTGTCGTACCAGGGGGTGCACCGGGACGTCTGGATCCCAATGGGCATAACTTTTCGGGCCCTGTCCCCCCGCCATGCCCGACCAGCAATGCCCAGCAGCACTCACTAAAGAGCCTTGCAGATACCAAGGCAAGGCAGCAGCTGCTCCACGCCAATGTCACCCACAGAGTTATAGTCCAGCTGCAGGGCCACGGGCCGCTGGAGGTGCCGCAGCACAAAGGCCAGGGCGGCACACTCTGCGGGGCCCACCCTGCAAAACGTCAGCTTGAGGTGCCCGACATCCAGCCCGCGCACCGCCTCCCGCGCCAGCTGCTCCTCCTGCATCTCATACAGGCTCCGGATGAGCCAGATGAACCCAGGCATGGCGTGCATGCTCTTGGCCTCACCCGGCACAGCTGGCGGGATGGACTGGAAGTGCTTGCGGAGGCTGCGGGATAGACAGCGGCGAGTACAGGCTCGTCGGCGCCGGAGCAGGGCCTTCTTGGACACCTGGCACGGAGCCAGCAGGTCCCGGTGCTCCTGGGACAAGAGCCCTGCCAGGAAAGCTGCTGTGATCTGAAGGTTGTGCGGCTCGGCCTTCTGCAGCAAAGCCACCACGCTGCCCTCCTCACACCTGGAGCCCTGGACGCACAGTGTGGGCAGCAGCCGGGCCAGTGGAGAGCTGCCCGGCCTGTGGCAGTTGAAGAGGTGTCTGAGCGAGGCTACGGGCACGTCAGGACTCAGCGCCAGGTAGATGGCGGCAAAAAAGCACTGGAAAGTAATGTGCAGGAATTCCAGGTCTGGCGCGCTCCCTGGCACCACCCGCTGGGCACACACCAGGAAGCCAAGAGAAATGTCATCAGGGCCCACCTGGGCTGCCTGCAGCTGCTGGGCAGAGAACACATAGCAGCACATGCCCAGGCCCCAGAGAGCCAGTCGACCAAGGTGCAGGAGGGTGGAGAGCCTGCCTCGGAGGAGGCTGGGTCCCCGGATGTGGGAGGCCATGTGTGGTGGGGAGGCACGCAGCAGGAAATGCTGCAGGATCAGAAGGTACATATCTGTGGTGGTCTTTGGGGACCCCCCGTCCTGCAGCAGCAGTTCCTGGTGGCATCTGGACACCATCCATGAGAAAACAGGAAGATGGCATAAGCCGTACAGGGCTGAGGTAGCTTGGAGCAGGTGGAGGAGGCGATCTGCCATCCCAGGCTCAGGATGGCACCTCCTCAGGTAAAGCTCGATGGCCTCCTTTGAGAAGCCCCTCAGGTGGCACTCGGTGCACGCGTACTTCCTGAGGAGGGCCGACACGGCGTCTGGACGGCTGGTCAGCACCTTGCGAGCGTTCTTGAGCAGGTTGCCCTGCAGGAGGTTGAAGAGCAGAGTGGGGACTGACGTGGGGTCCGACGGGGAGCAGTGGCGCTCGCCATCGGTGAACCTGAACCTGAACTCATCAAAGCCGTCGAAGGTTAGCAGGACGCGGTCGGGGTGGTCGAGGAGGAACTGAAAGACGTCCTGCTGGCCCGCATCGGGCCAACAGCAGTGCTCGAAGATCAACGTCCTCAAGGACAGCGGTTTGGTCACGCACTGCAGCTGCCGGCAGCTGAACGGGAAGACGAAGAGAAAGTCCTGGAAGTGCTGCCCAGTCGCCCAGAGCAAGTGCAGCCGCTGCAGGAGTGTGCTCTTGCCGCTGCCCGCCTCGCCCACCACGAGCACGGTGTCCGCGTCTTTGTTGAGGTGTCCCTGGGCTCTGAAGAGCTCCTCCAGGCCCAGGGTGGCGGGGCTCTTGTGCAGGGCCCCGGCCGTGCCCACCTCCGTGCGCAGCTCCAGGGTGTTCTCTGTGTACACGTCGTCGAGGCACAGATTCTCCGCGCCGTCGTAAGTGCTGAGGAAGCGGCACTGCGCGGACACCGTGCTCCTCAGCTTGGAGACGTACTTCCGGCATTCTGCAGCTGGAAGACAGCAGAAGAGCGGATGAGGACGAGACTGTGGTCAAGGTGGGACCCAACCGGAGCGGGCTGCGGGGAGGAATGTGCTGATAGGAGAGAGGGGCCAGTGGACGCCCATTAGCTGGGGACTTCAAAGACAGCCACCTAAACCTCAGTTGTCTCCCCTGTGAAGTGGGGAGACTGGCGGTCACCACCTTATGGAGCTTTAACACGATCAACTGAGATAATGCATGTCCGGTGCCAAGAACAATGTCCCTCACAAAGTAAATGCTCCAAAGACATCATCCAGTGCCCTGACTACTACTGACACCAGACTGGCTGTGGGGATTGGGCTCTAGTCACGAGACCTGTGTTCTGATGCTGTTCCCACCATGTTGGCCAGGTGGCTTTACACAAGCCCCTCACCACTCATCTTCAGTTGCCTCTTCCTAGAGGGAAACAGGATCTAAGGGCTTAGGATTCTGCAGTCAGACACACCTGGGTTTAAAACCTGTGTCCAGGGGCTGGAGTTCTGGCTCAGCGGTAGAGCGCTTGTGTGAGGCACTGGGTTTCATCCTCAGCATCACATAAAAATAAATAAACAAGCAAATAAGATGAAGGTATCGTGTCCATCTATACCTAAAAATATAAAAAATAAAAAACCTGCATCCACCATTCATTTGAGGACACCACCTAACCTGACCAGGCCTTGGTTTTCTGATCTATAGAAATGGGAACAATCCACATCTTGAAGAACTGTTTCAGAAGCAGTGAGATGAACGGGGTTTAGAAGAATATCTGGCACTTGGTAAACAATCCAAAAGTGGTATTCACTATTAACATTACTGGTACAGGCACTGCAGTGCCCCCTGGCCAAAGATGTCCACGTCCTGATTCCTGGAGCCTGTGACTATGTTCCCTTACATGGTAAAAGGGATTAGGTGGCTGCGGTGAGAGGAACCTGCAAAAATCTGAGTGGGCTGGACACTGGAGGGTCTCAAGGTCACCGTGGTTCCCAGGCCAAGCACTCAGACAAGACCCTCTGATTCTGCCTGCACGTCCCCATCCTCCTCTTGTCCCCTCTGCAGGGAGAGTTTGCGTGCCCAGGGTGCATCCAGAGGGCTGATGTTTTCCTTTATCATCCTGGTTCCAGGGTGTGCAAACCACTTCCTGTGTGAGGGGTCAGTTCCTCTTTTGGGAAATAGAGAAGTGCCGGTCCCAAGAGCTAGGCTGGTAGGACATCAGCACGGTTCACATCATCGGAGCCGCACTGCCCCCAACCAAACACTGGCCTGTTAGTTCTCAACCCAGGAGCCAACAGGTAATTTTTGCAGGGAGCTCTCAGCTCACTGAAGTTGCAGATGCTCTGTGTCTATGTTTTTTTATGTTTTATTTTTTGGTCATTTTTAAGATGGAGTCTTGCTATGCTGCCTGGACTGGACTCCAACTCTTGGGCTAAGTGGTCCTCCTGTCTCAGCCGCCTGAGTGGCTGGGACTACAGACACGTGTCACCTCTTTTGCTCCCAGAGCTATGCTCACTGTTGCTATTTCTGCCCTTTGGCTATATCAGGAGCACTAAGCAGACACCAGAAGCTATAGACCTTTCCTTCCAATACCCTGACTTCCATCGCAGATTCACAGCCATGGTTAACGACACCAAATTCCTCAAAAAAAAAATCTCATTTTAAAGATATCAATAGACATATCACTTGTCACCTTCAGCAGCACCTGCCCCATGGCACGGTGTCCCCAGTGCCTGCCTCGCCAGCTATGCTTGATGATATCAATAATCGTTAACCAAGGGCCAGCTGGGTACTGTGCATTGATGTCTCTATCCTGCTCTTGAAGGAGATGACACACAGCCACATGCCAAGCACAGGCCTCCAGCCATCCCGCCCTCAGGCCTGCTCGCTGCTGAGAGGCCAGGACTCAGGCTGAGAAACCCATCTGTCAGCACCAGGCACACAGCTCAAGGGCCTTCAGTGCTGATAGCTTTCCCTCTCGAGGCTGCTGGAACAAGACTCAGGGAGCGCCCAGCTTGCATCTTCTCTTTACAATGGAAGATTTCTTCTCCCCACAAGACAGTGCAGGTGAGGACAGTTTGCAGTCACACCCGTCTCCACTGCTTCGTCACTTAACCTGCCTGCCCAGTTTCCACATCTGTAAAGTGGAGGAAACACCTAATTCCCAGGGTTATTGCAAAGGGCATTTATTGTACAGTGTGTTGTAGCTGTGTGCACAGGCCTCTCCCATTCCTGGGTGGGGTTGGTGAGCATGGGCACTGAGGGGTGCCATGTTCTCTAAATCCACTTGGTCCCTGAGGTTCTGATCATGAGTAAATGCTCTGCTATTAACCATGAATCTGTGCTGACTTCCTTTTCCTTTCTGACAAACTGGAGAAGAACAAAAACTACATTCCAGAGGTCAAGAGCTACCCAGCCCACCTCTAAAAGTGAATCTGGATCTTCCTAGTGCAGACAACAAGAGTTGGCACGGTAAGGAGCACCTGTTGTTAGCCCTTGCTTCATGGCAATTCTAGTAATCAATATGCAGCACAGGACATGATCAAAGCCAAGGGACAAGGTCAATAATTTCATCCTTTCATTCCCTCCCTGCAAGCCCGATGAGTCCGGGAGCCATGTTAGCTTTAAAATGAGGAAACTGACTCTCATGGGAGGCTTATGCAGAATCAATATGTGGGTGCCAACGGATGCATGCTCTGCTATTAACCATGAATCTGCGCTGACTTCCTTTTCCTTTCTGACAAACTGAGAAGAACAAACACATACCCACTAAAGGCAGGGGCAATGGGACTGGTAATTCCAGAATGTGCCGGAGAAGGAAAGCAGCCAATCCATTTGCCTTCACTGCGGCAAGATCAAGCAGCCTCCTTGCCTGTGGGAGAAGAAGAAGCCATTATTTTTCCAGAAGGGCTGAGGAGGGGTGTGGGAAGGTTTCGACCAAGTACAAGTTGAGCATCTCTAATCTGCAAACCTGAAATAGGAAATGCTCCCAAATCCAAAACTTTCTGAGCATCAACACGATGTCACAAGTGGATGATTCCATACTATGAAACTGTTGCATGCACAGAATTATTTGAAATATTGTATAAGATTATCTTCAGGCTATGTGTATAAGGTGTATATGAAACATAAATGAATTTCACTTTTAGATTTGGGCCTCATCCCCAAGATATCTTATTATGTATATGCAAATATTCCAAAATCTGAAAAAAAAAAAAAAAACCCAGAAAACCAAGACATTTCTGATTCAAGCATTTAAGATAAAAGATACTCTATATGAACTACAATGCCATAGGATCTCTCTGCCATCACAATAAAAGGCCTGAAAAACAAATAAATTATCACAGGAGTTAAAAGAAGTTGGTACAATATTGGATGGTGAAATAAACACACTCATCCAATCTGGCTCCTTCTCCAAACCCACTCAAGAAGTAAATACCTAAAAAAATAAACAAATGTACAAAGATAAGGAAAATGATTCCAAAAGCTGTCGATGACTTGAAAGAAAAGTGATTTCAAGTCTCATGGCTTCAATGCTTGAACATGATCTCTGTTCTTGACCCCCAGCCTGAACTCGTCCCTGAATCTGGGCCTGGCTCATCAATTGCCGATTTGCCATCTCCGCTCACATACACCCACACATGTGCCAAGCCTAGAGCCATCCTCATATCAGCTGAAGTCAACGCCATCTTCCAGGTGCTTAGCCCCAGAGGTTTGAAGTCACCCTTGAAGCTTCAATCCACCAGAAATCCTTTGGGCACCATTAAGGATACCTAGAACACTGCCCAATGGAACTAGAAATCAACTACAAATGTGAGCCATGTTCGAGATTTAAAATCTTCCAACAGCCACCTTCTTTAATGTTTAAAAAGATGAAATTGATTTTAACTATATATTCCATTTAACCCAAGATATGCAAAGGATTACCATTTCAACACATAGTCAATATTATAAAAAAAAAATGAGTGTGATAATGCAGCATTCTTTCCTCCATATTGTCTCTAAAATCTGATGAGCTTTCCCTCTCGAGGCTGCTGGAACAAGACTCAGGGAGCGCCCGGCTTGCATCTTCTCTTTACAATGGAAGATTTCTTCTCCCCACAAAACAGTGGGGAGAATATCCGTGTGGACCACGTGTTTTGAGCACTCAGTGGCCACACATGGCCTCGTCTACAGCTGCAGAGCCCCGCCATTCCCCCGTACCCCCTCTAGAACACCCTGCTCACCCAGAAAACCGCAGAGCCTGCCAAATGGGCCTCCCTTCTGTGTCCCTACCCCGTCATCTCCTTTATAAACAAAAGATCCTCACACCTCCTGTTAAACAGCACAACCAAACCCTGAGTCCCACAGTAAACTTCACGGCACAAAACAGACAAAAGTCTCTGTCCATAACCATCTAGCTCCCAGCTGCACCCCGACCTCCCCTCTTCCTCCTCTTCCTTGCCCACCCGACTCAGCACTGGGCTCCTATTCCCTGGGAATCCCAGCATGCTCCTGCCTCTGGGCCTCTGCTCTGGCTGCATCCCCGACCTGTGATGCCCTCTCCCCACCTGGGCCATGGCAAATTCCCTCCCCTCCTCCAGTTCTTTGCCCAGATTCCATCTTCCCAGTGGGATCTCTCAACTACTCTATTTAAACGTGAACTCACTTGCTCCCTGCTCTCCCTACCCTCTCCACGTCCAGAACACTCTACCAACTCTCCGCGGCACGAGCACTTTCTAACACACTCTGCAGCTCAATTCCTTCTGCCCCTAGAAGAGTACCGGGCACACTCCCAGTGCTCAGAAGACTCCAGAAAGCCAAATCCCAAGCCAACAATAGGGAAGTCAGGAAGTGCATAGGTACATTCTAGAATCTGTCAGAGGCTCTGAGACTCTCATCATCCAGTACCTTTGGAACCGAAGGAAATGACAAAGGCAAGCACTGAGTCAAAGTGCTCTATGAACTAGATCTCCAGATGCCCTTGCCCACTCCAAGCCACCAGCAAATATCCCTGCCTGCCGTGGCAAAGTCGGCCTATTGATATTCTGGAAAGGGTAAAGAGAGGATCCCTGGCTGGGTGTGATGGTATACGCCTGTAATCCCAGCGGCTCGGGAGACTGAGGCAGGAGGATCACAAATTCAAAGCTAGCCTCAGCCATTTAGTGAGGCCCTAAGCAATTCAGTAAGATCCTGTCTCCAAATAAAATACAAAAAAGGGCTGAGGATGTGGCTCACTGGTTAAGCGCCCATGGGTTCAATCCCTGGTACCAAAAAAAAAGAAGTGGGGGGTGGATCTCTGGATTATGAGACATCAGGCACAATTAAATTCATCATACACCAAACACAGGTTTAATGACCCGGTGCAAAACAAACGCTGAACACTGAAACTTTTCCAACCAGCACCCACTGCCTCGCAGCCCCTGGGCTCCCAGGACTGTGGTTATCAGACCTTTACCCCCAGGCGGGTCTAGGCAAGGAATTTGGTCAATCCAGAAGGAAAGTCTAAAGATGCAGATAAATAGATAGATAGATAGATAGATAGATAGATAGATAGATAGACAGATATCTCAATCTGCCATTTCCCAAAATCTCTACAGTGGAATGCATAGCAGACAAATTTCACCTGCACACTCATTGAATTTTAAAGTTCTCTATTTCAATAACAAGAAGGACAACCAAGGACTACCATATGCCCAAAGAAAATATTTAATATGGGAGGTAAAAGTCAAACCAGTGGGGAAAGAGAAAGCAACTTGTTGGATAGAAAAGTTTATGTGTGATGAAGGAAACAACCTAACCTACCCAAGCAAACAAAACAGAACAAAATAAGTATCATTAAGGAAAAGAAAAGATTGTATTCATAAAACAAGAGCAAGATGCTATAAAAAAGGAATAGTCAAAATTGCCCTTGCACATTAAACGTGTGATAGCAAAAATGAAAAATGTAAGAGTTTACAATAGAGAATATCATATATAAAATAGAGCAAAAAACAGAAATGGAAAATAGAAGGAAATTAAAGAGTTAGTCAAGAAATTCTAACACTCAAGTAATTATAATTGCATAAAGAGAGAAGAGAGAAAATAAAGTGGAATAAACTCATCAATTAAATTTCCCAGAACATAAAGATATGAGCTTCTGCATTCAAAGAGCCTGTTGGGTATCCAGCACCCGAGGTACTTAAGTGTGAAATTTCAGAATGTTGAAGACCAAAAGAAAATCTGAAAAGCTTCCAGAAAGACATATACAATGGTTTTAGAGTTCTTAGCAACAACATCCGGAAGAGAAGGTAACGGAATAATGTCATCAGAATTCTAAAGGAAAATGATGGCCAACATAGAATTTTATACCCAGTCTAACTATCAATAAAGTATGGTTGAAATGACAGACACACATTCTTTCTAGAAGACATATGATCTATCATAATGGAATAAATAATAAAAGAAGAAGACATAGTATTCGGGATACAGGAAACCCAACACAGGAAGGCCAATATCAGGATGACGGCTGTGTGCTACACAGAGGGCCACCTGTTTAGATGGAATCACCACTGACTCAAATCTGAGGGCCGTCACCTCCGAGACCACAGGTAAGCCTGGCCCTCATCCTTATCTGTCTGTGACTTGTCTTCACCATGAGCTAGCATTGTTCCTCTCAACCCTGCTGCCTAAGTCAGCTGAGGACATTCATTTCACCCCACAGGGGCGCTTGTCTTGACCTCTTCCTGGGAGCCAGAATAGCCTTTGGTGAGCTCACAACTGAGTGAAAGAGAAGCCCACCTCCTCTGACCATATTCCCACTGGACATGCAGCTCCTCTCTCATACTGGTGCTTCCAGATCCTCCAGCCTGACCTTGTCCACCAACCTCCCAGAGTCCCTTATAAATTACCAGGGAAGGCAGGGCCAGTCCACATCCACAAGACCCTGTTAAGCTTCCCTGACCTGGGAACATTGACCTAAGAAAGGGCAATTTGGCCCTTTCCTTACACAACAATGTGTGGCTTGCTACTCAGTTTTTCAAAAGAAAAAAAAAATCCAGCATTTAAGGGTTTCGTTTAAAAGGTGCTAAAACCATAAAGCGAAGGAATGATTAACACCAAGGTCAGGCCAGACGTTGCCTCTGGTTGTTGCAACTGAAGAAGGGTCTGGGTGCTGATATCGTTCTCTTTCTTAATCAGGGTGATGCAATATATTTATCCGGTATGTATGAAATTTATCCACTACTCTGTAGGCATGGTATGTTTCCGAATCTAAAAATGTTTAAGTTAATATTGTGACAGGAGCAAGCAACTCAGAGCTCACTCTGACACCCCAGTCCCATTAACTTTAGCAGTTGCATGAGTCACACGGACAGTTGATGTCACAGCTGGTGTTACCAGTCTCAGGTTTCCTAACAACTGTTATTCCCAACTGAGCAAGACCACAGGAAGCCCTCACATTTTATGACAGAGAAAGAACACAAGAGCTGGGTGCAGTGGTGCACGTCTATGATCCCAGCAGCGAGGGGCACTGAGGCGGGAGGATTGCAAGTTCAAAGCCAGCCTCAGCAAAAGTGAGGTGCTAAGCAACTTAGTGAGACCCCGTCTCTAAATAAAATACAAAATAGGGCTGGGAGTGTGGATCAGTGGTTGAGTGCCCCTGGTATTCCCCTTACCCCCCCCCCCACCAAAAAAAAGAAACAACCTAAACTTTGGAGAAAAACAGACCTGGATTCAAATTCTAGCTGGCCCCTTCCCAGATGGGCAATTTGGATGGTTTCCACATTGTCAAGGAAGACTGTAGTCATACCAAACCATTGGGAGGACGTAGTTAGGATTAAATGATGTAGTATAGGGAAAAGGCTGAGTACAGTGTGGGGCACATAGTAGGTCCTTTTAAACACATATTTGATGTTTAAGTGAGCCTAGGTAAGGCTAGGTTGAGAATGATGAAATAAACTACTCTGTCTGCAAGCTGGCTGGTTATTTACAGTGCAGACACGTTGAGGCAGCAACAGTAGCATTGGTTACTTTATGGATTTAGTTCCTCAGCTTGCGTTTTGTTTCATTCCACAGTCCTTTCCAGCCCCCAACCTGATATCATTATCAATGGTCAATGGTAGCACCTCTATGTAGGAAATTGAAAGGTTCCCGGGGGGTGGGGGGGGGGGGGGGGGTCATGTTAATAGGACATACCACAGTTCCCACCCACACTAAATCTGAAATTCGGCCATGTGGGGGCGGGCACCAAACACCAAAGCACAACTTGAAGGAAACTCAGAGAAAGGTGGATTCTAAACACCTAGAGCGCTCTGGGCCGCCCTTGGCCCCTCCCCCAGTCCTCAGCTCTGCTCCCCACTGTCCCTTCCACCACTCAGCTCAGTCCCCACTTTCCATGTGGCTTCTGCGGTCCACTTAGTTCTTTCTCAGGAGGGATTCTTAGTTCATGAAATCCAGCCCGTCTTCGTGCCCAACCTAAGCATTTTAAGGCTCTTCGTTTCCCTCTATATTCTGCTTTAGCTGCATCTCATAAACTTTGATAATAATATTCTCATTTGGGGGGCAGTGCCAGGGATGGAACTCAGGGTGCTCAACCACTGAGCCCCACCCCCAGCCCTATTTTGAATTTTATTTAGAGACAGGGTCTCCCTGAGTTGCTTAGCACCTCGCTTTTTTTTTTTTTTTTTGGCTGAGACTGGCTTTGAACTCATTATCCTCCTGCTTCAGCCTCCCAAGCTGCTGGAATTACAGGCCACCACACCCAGCTCTCATTATTTTTTGATCTTAAATACTTTCTGATTTCCAGTATGGTTTCTTCTTTGATCCATAAGCTATACCATTTTTTTTTTCTTTACCAATCCAAATACTTCCTCTGTCTGGGCCCTAGGCATCTCAGCTAGCTTCTCCAAATCCCTCAGAGCATCCAGACCAGACCACACTGCTGATCACTTGATCAGGGACAACCAGACATTAACTTGTAACTTCCTGGGTGGGCCGCTTCTATCCCTCCAATAAAACACAAGAGACTTGAACAGGTAGGTCTTATCTGCACTAGTTAGAGAGGACCACAATGTGTCTGCACTGTGAATAATTAGCCAACTTGAGTCAACTTGAAAACAGAGTAGTTTATTTCATCATCCTCCACCTAGCCTTACCTAGGTCCACACATCAAATATGTGTTTAAAAACAGGCAAAAATAAAAACTACAAATTTCCCCAATTCAGACTATTCTAAAACTCCAACTGAACTCCACTTCATTCATTCACTCAGCAATCCATTCATTTCAGCAGCAAGTGTTTACAGAGCACTTACCATAGTACCATGGACTCTGAGTACAAACTTCAGGTAAGAGCCTGGAATGTGATAAGCTCTGAATAGCATCTGGCTGAATAAATGAGTGAATGAATTAGTGATGAATGAATGGTCAAGGCTGTGGTCCAACAGTGGCTCTCTGCTCAACCACCGTCATCCAAACCACTTTCCTGGGCCTTAATTCCCTATTCTGTCAAGTGGAATGTTAATGCCTCTTTTCCATCTGGAGGCCTGACGATCGCTGTTTGAGAAAAATAAAACAGAGTGTTTCAAAAAATACCCACAGACATTTTTCTGTCCTTGCGGTCTCCGTTGAATCATTGTATTTTCAGGGACAGCTACATCCCAGCTCCAAACGCCTGTGATCTAACATGATTTCCCATCAGAAATCCTACGAGAACATATTAGTACATTGCGTGCTATTTCAATTATTGATACAGACTTAATATAGTGAAGCGTTATGCTCTGTTGAGCTGTTCATTTAAAAGACAGCGATAAGATTGTGCAAGGACAGAACATGGCTTATAACAGCAGTCAGGGGTGACGTGGATGTGTGCTTCTTATGTGCCATATTAAATTCTCCCCAAAATCACGTAAAATAAGTATGGAACTATTTAGAGTATTGTTCAGATGAGGAAACTGAGACAGGAGAGACTAAAGATGCACAGGTTCCACACAGAAGTCGGAAGCACCCAGAGCTGACCTTGACCCTGCATCATTCCGGCACCAGAACCGGAGCCTGGTGCCAACCTCCTGCCCTCACCAGCAGTGGTTCACTGCCAATAACCAAGGGCAGCTCCTCCCCTCCTGGCTGCTCTTTAGGGGGAATCCCGTGGACCGCGTTACCCCACGGGCTGACCTCCCAGGCACAGTCAGTCTGGATGACTAAGAGCCTTTCCTGTGAACGCGGACCCCAGGCCGTGCCTCACCCTCTGGGAGGACGTGAAAATGGGCAGTCTGATGTCATCACACTCGTACTGGCTGATGAAGCCGCGCTCCCGCACCAGGTCCAGCACAGCCTCCACGTGGCTGTACAGTCTCCTGACGATGGCCGGCCGGTGACTCTGCAGGTCTCGGGCTGGGTGGAGTGAGTGGGGGTCCCAGCCGTCACGTGGCTCAGGGGACTGACCGCCGGCCTGGGCTTCCTGGAGAGCTGCGACCAGCTTCTCACAGCCCCAAGCACCCTTGTTCCCGACAGTGTCCAGCAGGCACCTGGCCAAGCGGGAAAGAGGCTGGCCTGGGAGGCTGAGGCTCTCGTAGTCCTCCCAGGAGAGGACTTCCCAGGACAGCAGCCAGTCCAAGATGCTCTCGAAGCCCTCCAGGGACCCTGAGACCAGCAGCCCCACCAGGTGACTCCTCTGTGCCTGGAGAGCCTCCTGGGAGCACATCTCACAACCTAGGGAGAGACAGAGAGCAGGGCTCAGGAGGGCTCCCCAGCAGCCAGGGAGGGGCGGCCAGCCCACCCCAGGACCTGGTCAGCCATGGCGCCCCCCCAGCGTTACGCACCCCAAGCTCTCCACGGTACAGACCGCAAACCAGGCCCGAGCTCCAGGTCCCACGGCAAGATTGAAGCAGCCAAGAACTAAATCAAGAACCCCTGGCTCCCATCTCCTGCTCCATCCCCGGCTTCAGAGGTCAAAAGGGCTGGAGCCAAGATGAGGAGCAGTGTCTCCTGGGGGATCAGGGAACTGGCTCTCTTTGAGGGAGGAAGACAGGACCTCGCCACCAAGCTCAGACTCCCGCCAAGCAGCTTCAATAATGCGTGAGCACCATCCTAAATGCTTTGCTGCGTGAATCCACTTAACCCTGCCTGCCACTCTGAAATCGGTGCCGTGCTCAGCCCCCTTTTACAGAGGAAGAAACTGAGGCACACAGGGTCACGGTTGCACAAACCGTGCAGGAGGCAGAGCTGGGACCTGAAGGCACGCAGCGCGACTTCAGGAGGCATGCCCTTAACCCCCTGTATTGGAGTTCCCCACAGGGCCTCGCGCCCACCCCTGTGTAGGTGACCCACGGCCACCCAACTGGGGGACGTGGCTACCGAGATACCAGGCGAGGTGAGGTGGAAAACCGTGGTGCCAACTAAGTTGTTTCAGAGCCTGCTGGAGCGTCTGCACACACACACACACACACACAGCCGCCCCCGCGGCCCTCACTTCCTCCACACACACCACCACACATCACAGGCTGGCACTGTCACCGTGGCCGTCATCAATGGCTTACTCTGGGCTCAGCCCCCAGACTCTGGGAATTTGAGGGGAAGTGATCTCCAGAAGCGTCAAGCGCTAGCAGAATCCCTGAGTGGCAGAGAAAATCTCTCAGCATGGTCAGTTCTGTGACTGTCACGGGGTCAGGGACACGGGCTGGTGCAGCGCCCAGGGAAAACGAAAGTGAAAGGAAGAAAGGCACGGAAGAAGACAGCAGAGGGACACGGGCAGCAAGTGGCCTGGGGGCTTCACCTCTGTCCTGCTGGTGGCTTCCTGCTGGGCCCATGGCAAAGCCTGGGTCTCCTCTTCCTGGCCCCCATCCCTAAGCCTGGCACGCGCTTGGCCCAGCAGAGGACCCTGGGAAGGGTCATCAATCAAACCTCCAAGCAGGGAGAGGGGGGACGGGAGCATCCTGCACCTTCTCATAAGACAGTGACATGCAGACTGGCCTCATGCCTGGCCTGCATGTCACCTGGACCTGTGTGTCCGGCAGCTTGGGGGAGATGGTGTCCCCATGCACAGGCCACTGTAAACCAGGAATCAAGACAGCTCTCCTTGGTCAAGAAGGTGTCCTCACTGAGCCACCAACAACCAGGGACAAGGGAGGGGAGGACAGCAAGGGGCAGTGGAGTTCTGGGTGGGACCTGGGGTCGTCTCAGCAGCAGAGACACTAGCCCCCAACCCCTGTCCAGGTCCTAGGAAGTAACTGCCCCCACTCTCCCTCCCTGAGAATAGCCCTGAGAAGAGGGGTCAGCACCCTCCTCAGCCCTCAGCCTGACAAGCAGGGTGCAGCCAGGAGAAGAGGAAGTGAAGACTAGGCCGAGCCCAGGCAGTGCCCACTCCTCTGACCTAGGGGATGCCCGGGGAGGGACATCCGCTACCTCCTTCTCATGTGGACAGTCTAGCCCAGCCTCTCAGCAAAGCCCACCAGGCAGGAGGAGCAGGCAGGCCAGGCCAACTGTGGGTGAGCCTTGAGCAGAGAGGGGCACAGGACGGGCAGTCCTGGGGCGTCCACAGACCCCACCTTCAGGGGAAATCCCGAAAGGATGGGCCGGAAGCCGGAGCCAGCTACCAGAGCACCGTGATCTTGGCACAAAGCCTGGTGCGTCCACCGTGGCCCTCACTGAAAGGCAGGACAGGGCCCACTGGAGACCCGAGACACACCCAGCAGACGTGCCCACCCCCAGGGACAGGAGCTGCAAGGAGCAGGCCCTTCCCAAACATGCCAAGGCCAGGGCTGCCTGGCTAGTGACATAAGGGACTCAGAGGGAGAGGCTGGCCCAAGCCATGAGGCCTGGTGATTTGTCCTCCTGCCAGCAGTGGGAAAATCCCATTTGTGCCAATCCTGTGGAAACCTCAGAGCGAGGAGAATCCCCAGGGATTCTCAGCCAGCCCCGCCTCTCAGCAGGTGTTGCTCTAGCTCTTCTTAAACACCTGGCAAAGAAGACTGACCTCGGTGCTGTCCTCACTAGCCAGCTCAGGAAGTTCATAAACTCAGGAAGTTCTTCGTTATATCTAGCTTAAGTTACTCCTGCTTCCACTTAAATTGGAAGGGAGGGAAATAGGTAGATGTTCACTGATCACTTATTCCATAAAAACTGTGCCTGAAATCTTACCACTTGCACCTTTATCACCTGGGCAGACTCCCCCTCTTTAGATCAATACTTCAGTCGGTCTCTATTGCCTTTTCTTCTCTAGTTATTAGAGGTTAGGAGTCACTACTGTCCTCCCCAAGGTGAGGCTGAAACAAAGAAAGGCACCACTTTGTGAAACAGAGGGTCAAGGTGACCCACGTGGCACCTCCCTTACCCCCAAGCTCAGGCCTGCACCCGGACACCTCCTTCCTGACATCACAGCCTGCCTGGCAGTCACAACAGGCGCTCGGTGTGTTAAAATCTTAGCCTCCACCCCCTGCAGACAGAAGGAAAGGGAGGCCCAAGGAGGCCCAGCTAGGGCTGCCTGGGTCCGAGCTGGAGCCAAGCCTCCCCGGGGGCATTAGATCCATTCCCTCCTTCCCCTGGCCACAGGGTCTATCCTCCTCCCCTGCTCTCGGCTGCTCTTCCCTCAGAGACCACTCCCATGGTGACACTGTGGACTGATTCCTCCTCCGTGAACGTAAAGCCCACCCTGGGCTGCTGTCCTCGTTCAGCTCCAAGCCCCTTTGCCCCCTGTCTATGGCTGAACAGCTGTCCTCAAATCCTCCTGCTCTTCCCCTCTGATGGCCCTTCCAACCCTCTGATGGCCACTTTGGTTGAGGTCACCCGTGACCTCCCATGACACAATCTCATTTGTCTCCTCTGGTCTCCTCTGCCAGAGGCGTCGGTCCCCACGGCTCTCCCTCCCCCTTGACACGCTCCCCTCATGGCCCTCAGGTCACCAGACTCTGACTCCCCCCCCTCCCACTGGATTTTCTCTCTCTCTCTCTCTCTCTCTCTCTCTCTCTCTCTCTCTCTGGCTGGTTCCTGGTCCTGAGGCCCCAGAGCTCAAGGACTAGACCTCTCCTCCATACCCCTCTCCCTGAGTGAGCCCACCTGCTCTCCTGGCTTGAAATACCAACCTCACGGTGACGTTGCCTAAACTGTCCTCACCAGCTCCAATCCCACCCCTCACTCTTCCCAGTGGCCTACTTGACACCACATGGATGTCTGGGGGCATCTCAAGCTGGAAAAGCACAAAACCAAAGCCCTGACCCTCCCCCTAAACAGCTCCATCTCAGCGATGGCAGCCCCAGACTTGTAGATGCTCAAGCCAAAGCCTCAGCGTCCTCCTAGGCTCTACCTTTCTCCTGCACCCCACATCCTGGCAACCCAAGCTTCAGAATACTCACTGAATCTGAAATCTCTGTCCTGGGTGGTCCCCCTTCACTGTGTCCTCCTGTTCCCTCATGCCCTACCGTCCACTCTCAGCCTCACAGCTAGCTGAACCTGCTAAGGCAGAGCAGGTGGACTCCCCCGCTCAGAGCCCTGTGGTGGCCCACACTGCCACCTTCAATGACCCATTCAGTGAACACTCAGCTCCCTGCCACTTACCTTTCTGCACTCACTTCCTCCTAATTCCTCACCCATTCCTGGTCCAGCTACACTGGCCTCCTCCTCCTTCCAAGAACAAGTCAGGCCTGCTCCTGCCTGTCATATTCCTGCCTCAGGACATTTGCACCAGCTCTTTGCTTAATGGATACTATCTCTAAGCCTCCCCCCCCAAAACTAGTCACCTGGCTTGTCCCTCACCTCCTTAAGACTTTGCTCCATGGTCCCTGTCTATGCTATACAAAACTGCCATCCCCAACCACAGCACCCAACCTTGCCTGTTTTCTTTTTCTCCATAGCTCTTCTCACCCCCTGAGATGCCATGTGTTGCTTACTTCACGGCTGGTGCTCCTTTCTAGAGTGTGCACTCCACAAGAGCAGGGCAGGAGTGCTGTCTGATGTTTCCATGGCTGGGTCTCCCTTGTCTCCCTCGGTGCATTGAGAAAGGTTGTTGGAAGGAATGAAAGAATGCACTTGCTCTGTGTGGCTCCAATGGCACACAAGGACCCAAGGGGGTGACAGAGGCAAGCCACAGCCGCTAGCTGAATGAAACAAGAGCTGCAGAACACTGAACGGCCACCTCACAAGTAACACGCTCAGGGTGGGGGCCTATGCTGCAGAGGAATTCCCACCAGGGTGGGAGGGAGGTGGCTGGACGGGGCACTTTCAGACTCAGATTGAGAGAGGCAAAGGGGGCTTGAGTCACCAAAGACCAGGGGCTCTGGCAGTGCCATAACACAGGACCAGTGGGGATAGCAACCTGGTCTTCACTAAGAGGCCAGAGGAGGGGTGGCAGGCCAGCTTTTTCCCCTCTGAGAACAAGGGCCCTGGAGGAGACCAGGTCATGGTCCATGGAGAGCCAGGCAGGGAGACAGGGAAAGAGCTTAGGGAAAGGGCCAGGAAAGTCAGAGCATCTGGGAGCCTGGGTCCCCGCTCCAGCCCCATCCACCTGAGGAAGACGCACCCCAAGGCCGCGGAGTGGGAGAGCTTTCAGTTTGCCTGAAGTCAGGTAGGACCAGGTGGCTGCTCCCCCAACCTGAGAGCAAAGCAGGGGCCCACAGCCCGAGACTGCAGCACACGGCAGGCCTGGGTGGGTGGGCCTGTCTGGGCAGGGTGGGATCTGAACTGGGCCTTCTCCGCACCAAGGGGGAAGGGAGAGGCCAGAGACCCCAGTAAGAGTTACAGGGCGCAGGCAGGGTGAGCGATGTCCCTCGCTGACCATGGAGAGAAAGGACACAGTCTCCTCGCTCCACAGCCCCCACCAGCCCCAAGGCACAGCCTCTCAGGTCGCAGAGACCACTGAGGGTTCCGGCCAATTTGCCCACACCCCCAGAGCCCTGCCAGGGGGCTCCCGCCCTCGCGACGCCCCGTTCTTCTCCCTCCCCTGGGGGAAACCGAGGCAACTCCTCCCCAAGCCGGGCGGCCAGCCTGGCTCCGGAGCCAAGTGACCCCGGGGCGGGACCCTCGGTGCCCACTGTCCGCCTGCCTTCCTGGGGCCTGGACGAGCACTCACCGCCCAGCGGCCGGCACCCGGATCCTCGGCCCCAGCGGGACGCGCCTGCACCAGGGGATCCGGCAGGTCCAGGACTCGCCCCGCCCCCGGCCCCGCCTCCCCGGGCCCCGCCCACTTCGGCCGCCCTCGGCCCCGCCTCCCCGGGCCCCGCCCACTTCGGCCCTGCTCCGCCCCGAGGAGGCCACTCCCCTCCCGCGCCGTGCGGTCCCGGGTGGCTGGCCGGTCCTCTCCTGGGACCGCGTGGATCCGCTGACCCCAAGGAGTCTGGTGCCGGCGGGACTGCGCGACCCTGGCCGCGTTCCCTGGCGAAGTGTGTGCCACCTTCTGGGCCACGTGTCAACCGGAGGGAACCGGGGAGTCCTGGCAGCAGGCCCCACCCCGGCCCCACGCGCACCCTGGGCCCTGCTCGGTGGAACCAGGTTGGGAAAGTCCGTGGTCAGTAGGAAACGACGCGCCCTTTGAGGGACCAGAAGTCTTAGTCACCTTAGCCTACTGTACGGGACCCAGATGACAGATGACAGGTCAGAGTGGGCAGGGCCTTTAGAGCTTCTCTTTTCTCAGTTTCCTTTGAAAGCTGAGGCCAGAGGACGCAGGTTTCCTACTAACGGGGCCTAAACACCTGCCTACCGCAGTCTGTCCCAGGGGCCCTGCAGCCATCCCTCCCGGAATTTAAGAGCATGGTTGTGTTTAATTGAGAGTTACTTTAGAACTTATTCCTCCAAGCAAGTGACGATGGTTGTACATTTAAGGTGTTAAAATAAAAACACTTATTTGAGGATTTTTAAAAAGCAAAGTCTAACTCAAAAGAAAAATGATGAGAAATAAGGAAATAACGGACATTGGAGTAGTGCTTACTATATATCATCCGTTTTTACACGGTTAACCCAGTTAATCCCACCCACTGGTATTGGCTGTTAACATCCCTAGTTTATAGATAGAGAAACTGAGGCACATAAAAGCCAGGTAACCTGCCAAGGCCAACATTAGCCCCACACCTCTGACACCAGAGGTCATGCTCTAACCACTACCCCACACTGCTGAGGAGGGCACGTGCTGGCTTTAGGGGCCCGAGTGGGTGGGTACAGATCTGTCTTAGGACGTTGACCACCAGCTTGTCTGTCACATGTGCCTGCAGAGACGACCAGGATGTGGGTCAGCAAAGTGGGGGTGGGGGCTCCCTTCAACGTGGGCAACACTGTCCTGTAGGCAGGGGGTCCCAGTGGGACAAAAGGCAGAAGGAGGGGAGAGCGTGCCAACACAGGCAAGCTCATTCTTCTTGAGCTAGTGCTCCTGCCACCACCTGCAGACTCCAGTTTCTTCTGCCTTTAATTGAGGACTCACGTTGGTGACTCTCGGTGGCGCCCCCAGACCTTCTGTCTCAGACTGGGGCTGCCTCACTGGTCCCTCTTCTTCTGAGGCTTCAGCTTCTTGGACTGAGCGGCTGCGGGTTCCTCGGCTCTCTAGCTGTGGACAGCCATTGTGGGAGTACCCAGCCTCTGACCCTGTAAGCCATGTGCCTCCCCATGGGCTCTGTCCCCCTGGAGAACCCTGACCAACACAGCCCCACTTTCCCCTGACTTCAGCTCCTCCAGCCACACTGGCCTCCTGGCTGTTCCTGAGATCTGGCAGACCTCCAGGCCCTTGCTGTTCCCTCTGCCTGGAATGCTCTTCCTTTAGAAACCCACATGGCTTGCTCCTTCACCTCTTTCGGGTCTTTGCTTACATGTGATTTTCTCAGTGAGGCCTTCCCTGCACCTCAGTGAGGTGTCCAACTGCAATCCCCCACTGCCCCTTTCCTGGACTTATTTTGGACTTTCCTTTTTAGCCCTGTCTCCACACAACAGGCTCTGTGTTCTATTGATTTATAGCCTTTGCTGTCTCTCTCACTCCAAGGGATCAGGAACCTTCTTCCTTGTTCGCACCCCCCCCCCCCCAGGGCCTAGAACAGGGCCTGGCATGCAGTCAATATTTGCAAAGGAAAAACACTAAGAAGTGATGCTGTGATCCTAACAACCTGTGACAACGAACAAACCACCACATCCCAGGAGTCCCTCGGCCTTGGTGGAATGTTGGGTGAAAGCAGCCAGGTGCAAAGAGCATGCAAATTGTGCGACATAGAGCTTAAAAGTAGGGGAAGCCAAATTATAGCGGTAGGAGCCAGGGTGGAAGCTACCACTGGGGAGGGGGTCGGAGGCTGGAGGTGGTGGCGAGGATGGGGACAAAGGGGAAGTCTGGGGTGCTATTTTTGCTCTGAATCGTGGCTGCATGGTGCAAATACTTTGTGAAAATTGGTCAAGTTTAACAGTCATGATATTTGCATTTTCCTTTATGGACATCATATTTTTATAAAAATTTATTTTTAAAAGATGCTATACTGTCCATTTATTAGTATAGAAAGATGCCCATAATACACTAAATGTTAAAAGTAGGTTGATTTATTTAAATTTATTTTTTTAGTTGTAGAAGGACAACATCTTTATTTTATGTGGTGCTGAGGATTGAACCCAGGGCCTCACATGTGCTAGGCGAGCGCTCTACCGCTGAGCTACAACCCCAGCCCCAAGTAGGTTGCTTTTTAACAAGACAATTTGAAGGAAAAAAAAAATCGTCTTTTCAACAAATGGTGCTGGGCAAACTGGATACGCATATGCAAAAAAAAAAAAATGAATTTGGATTCTTACTCATACTCCATACAAAAACTAATCCAAATTGGACCAAAGACCTAAACACAAAAGCTAAAATCTTGGAAGAAAACATAAATTAGATCTTTGTGGCCTCAAAGCAATGATTTCTCAGGTTTGACACTTAAAACACAAACAACCAAAGAAGAGAATTAGGTAAATTGGACTTTATCAAAGTTACAAACTTATGTGTTTCAAAAGATGCTAACAAGAGCAGAGGACTGGGGGTGTAACCCAGTCGTAAAGCATTTGCTGAGCATGTATGAGGCCCTAGGTTCAATCCCCAGCACCGAGAGAGAGAGAGAGAGAGAGAGAGAGAGAGAGAGAGAGAGAAGGAAGGAAGGAAAAAAAAGGCAACCAACAGAATGAGAGAAAACATTTGCATATTGAATCTAGAATATTCTACATTGAAGATCCCTAAAAATAATTTTAAAAAGACTAATGCAATTTTAAATGAGCAAAGGATTTAAGTAGACATTACTGCAAAGAAGATGTAAAAGTGGGGAACAAACACAGAGAAAGATGCCAGACATTACTAATCAGAAGGAAAATGCAAATCAAAACTACAGTGAGATACCCCTTCACCCCCACAAAGGTGGCTATAGTTAAAAGGAGAAAAAAATAACAGGTGTTACAAAGAATGTGGAGAAATTTGAACCCTCATACATTGCTGGCAGGAATAAAAAATGGTGAAGTCATTGTGGAAAATAGTTGGGTGGTTCTTTAAAATATTAAACATCACGTAGAGTTACCATCTGCTCCAGCAATTCCTACCTAGGTATATGCTCAAGAACTGAAAACAGACATGCACACAAATGTTTATAGAAGTAATATCCAAAAAGTGGAAACAACCCACATCCCCATTAACTGAAGAATGGATTTTTTAAAAAAGGTAATAGGTCCATACAATGGAATATTATTCAGCCATAAAAAAGAACAAAGTACTGATACCTCCTCCAATGTGGAGGAAATTTGAAAACATTAGGCTTAAAAGGAAGAAGCTAGACACAAAAATGCCGTGTATTCCATGAATCCATTTATATGAAATGTCCAGAATAAGAAGTCCATGGAAACAGAGAGCAGATCCGTGGTTGCTAGGTACTAGGAGGAGAGGAGAATGGGGAGAGACTGCTAATACGTACTGTTTCTTTTTGGCACGATGAAAAATTCTGGAATTAGATAATGGCGATGGTTACATAACCTTATGAATATAGTAAAAACACTGAATTGTGAGCCTTAAAATAGTGAGTTTTATGGTTTGTGAATTATATCTCAATTAAAAAACATTTTTTGTTGTATGCTCCTATTTTTGCAATAAGAATCTATGGTTCTTCAAAATTTATGATCAGATTATAAGTGCATTTCTAAAACTCTTTTAAGATAATCCATCTTTCCTAATAAGCACGGACTACCTGTATAATAATATATATATATATATTTTTTTTTTAATTCCAATGTGTTAAGGGGCATCCATTTAAAACTCTCTGTATGCAGGCCCTATGCCAGGGACAGGCAATCAGGGTGCCATGGCAATGCTTCTATTCCCAAGGGCTCTGACGCAGGCCGCAGCCGGGCAGAGCTCAGAAGGAGCAGGTGACAAACCCTCCAGGAACCCTCTGGCCAGGGCCTGTCCTCTTCCAGACAAACCTCAGGGTTTGGTCATTTAAGACTCTCCCATGTGGGAGTCGCAAGGAACAGGGGGCTGCCCTCCGGAGCTGGGACCCTCTCCAGCAAGCCTCCGGAAGGGGACAGCCCAGCACCTGTGGCTGCTGTGGACACAGGTGCCCACCCGCTGTCCCGCTGCGCAGCAGTCCCCAGGCAGCCCTGCCCTCAGCAGCCCCCGCTCCCCAGGCCCCCCGCCCCCCACAGCCCCCATGAGCCAGGACCTGCCTCCCCTCCCCCCGGGGCACCCCGCCAGCTGCACCGCTCCCTCGGGCTCGGGCTGTGCCGGCTCCGAGCTTTCACTCACTCCGTGCCCCAGTGGGTGGCAACAGGTGGAAGCTGCAGGGACGTTGGGCTCGGGCAGAACTGGCTTGAACCCCGCTCTGCCTCTGGACAGCCGCCTGTTCTTGGCCAGCTGCTGAGCCCTCTTGACCCCAGTCTCCCTGAAAGCTCTGTGGAGAGGACCATCCACTTAGGTCCTGCCATGAGCTGGGGGCGTGGCGTGTGGTAAGCACTAAGCCGTCTGTAACGGGCACAGGGTACCCCAGGCTCCGTACTCCCGGGGTCATCCTCACCCCTCCCTCATGGACGAGGTTCGGTTCTTTGTCCCTACCGTCAAGATGAAGAAACCGAGGTTCCAAGATGAGCCAGCTACTAAACGGTGGATCAACGAGTCCAGTCCATGTCCTTGTCTACCCACTTTCCCTGGAACCTACCTACCCCTCAATACCACCTC